GCCGCTGTTGTTTGTTCACCCGCCGTTATGTTCCAGAACGGCCCGCGCGACGCCGGGCGGCGTTGTCGCTCAAATTTCACTTTAAACGAAAGGTAATAGAGAACCAAAAACACTGTTCAGGTTCAGCCCTGTGTTGTTCCAGTCCGAACGTTTTCGGTCCTTCCAGAATGGTGTTCCCGCTCCAGAGATGGCTTCATGTTCGCGTTCTCGGTCATTCCACATCAGACTCCTTCTGCAGCTCCAATCCGAACGTTTACGGTCCTTCCAGAATGACGTTCCCGCTCCAGCGGTGGCTTCATGTTCGCGTTCTCGGTCACTCCGCATAAGACTATCGCTGCAGCGCTGGCCTCATGTCATTGTTTCGGTTCTTCCTAGTCATGCTCCCGCTGCAGTGTGGGCCTCGTTTTCGGACCGGCGTTGTGTCCCCGTCGTTCAGAATGGCACTCTCGCCCCAGCGCGGCCAGTTTTCTGGACCTGAGTCTTTTTTTCATCGCTGTCGCCCCCCATCATTTCCCTCCGCATACTTTCTCTGGTCCTCCTGTTCCTCCCAATCCTTCCATTCCAGATCCTGCTGCTGATGCTGCTGCTGTTCGTCTTCGTCGTTGTCATCCCGCTCATCCTCCCGCTCACCCGCCACCGATTCCTCATGTGCAGGAGGATCCCTTTTGTCCGATTGTGCATAACACAATATGTGTTCTTGTTGGAGTCGCAGGTCGGCCATGACACGCGTTCGCTGATATATAGATAAGCAATCAGCTCAATGGGAAGGGGTGGGAGGGGGATAGGATGTCCGATTAGGCGCGAACGCACATAGCTTGTCTTCCTCCTCCTCCTCCTGCTCCTCCCTGCCGCTGTTCCTCATCCTCCTCCCCCTCCCCCCTTCTTGTCATCCCTCCTGCCTCCCGCCCCCATCCGCCATCCTGCCCACCCTCTCCCCTCTTGTTCGCCCTCCTCCTCCCCATCCCCTGAGATCCGACGTTTCGAAAAAATGTACGTCACAAAAGCATCACGCCCGGAACCCTAGACCCCGTCTTTCTGCAGCATTATCCGAGCCAGATCGATGTCTCAGGGCCCCAGGGTGCGAAAGCAGGCGACAAAACAGTGCGAGGACATGGTAATTCCCAGACTGTAGGGTCCCCCTCCCCGTTTCCACAAGGTTAAGCAAGGTTAAGGTCCACCTCACTGTAGCTTCTCCTGCCCAGTCCGCTTGGCTTACAATGGGGAATGAACACGCAGACAGATTTGCTAAACTTGGTGCTTGGCGTCATCCTGTCGATGCAGCGGCAATGGAACGACTGAGTAGATCGAGCATTGTAGTAGAGCGTATTGACAAATACATCGGATTTGTCATGTCTCGTGTTTTACCGCGCCTCAACGAGAATCCACGCCCTGCCCGCGTCATCCTCCCTCCCTGTCTTAACCCCCCAGCGGTTGTCGTGAAGGCGCCTACGGGAGTTCCATATGAGTTGGCTTGGGAGCCTTCTGTGCAGCGCTTGAGGTGCATAGCATGCTGGGCCTTCAGCCAGTGCACGTTCGAGCTGTATAGGTCCCTACGCACGGCCCCCCACGGGTTCGGCCATATAGTCATTCGTATTGGTAGGTATGTATTATGTAAATTATGTGGTTCGCATTCGTTCACCTTCACCGATTGTGTAACAGACGCCCAGAATCGACCACCGCCAAGTACAGGCTTGGTAATTTGATGCAGGGACTGGACCCCAAGAGTAAACAGTCCACTGGTCCTGTTTTGCCAGCGATGTCGCGGCTATTTGATTAGTTGGGGGACCCAATTGTGGTGCCTCCTGTTGTGGCCTGGTCCCCCATCTTGTCCCCTAGTGTTGCACTGTGGAGCGCATGCCCCCTCAAGTTTTGTGCTAATTCGGCATTTCTTGTGGCCCAGTGTGCTCTCCTCTTTCTGGGGCCTGTCTGGGGTGAGCGTCTCGCGCAAAGCGTGGTCGCCCCCTCATCTTCGGCGCATGTTTTTTGCTCTTGGACCTGCTTATTCGGAGGCAGGCCACCGTCCTAGTCCTAGTCCTCCTCCGTGTCCTTCTTCTCCTCCTCCTCTTCCTCCTCCTCCTCCTTCTCCTCCTGCTCCTCCTCCTCCCTTTCCTCCTTTCTTTCCTCCTCCGTTTCCTCCGTTTCCTCCTCTTCCTCCTCCTTCGTTTCCTCCTCCGTTGTTTCCTCCTCTTTCTCTTCCTCCTCCTCATCTTCTTCCTCCTCCTCCTCTTCATCCTCCTCCTTTTCCTCCTACTCCTCCTCCTCCTCCTCCTCCTCTGTTTCCTCCTCCGTTTCTTCATCCGTGTCCTCCTCCTCCTCCTCCTCGTCCTCCTCTTCCTCCTCCTCATCCTCATCCTGCTCCTCCTCCTCCTCCTCGTCCTCGTCCTCTTGCTCCTCCTCCTCTTTTTCCTCCTCTTCCTCATTCTCCACATCAATAGCATCATCGTTATCAGCATGATCATTCTCATGGCTCATCATCACCATCAGCACCTTATTATCCTCATAATCCTTCATCATCACCATCAGCATAATATTCGTCATCATCATCATCATCATCATCATCATCATCATCATCCTCATCAGCATCATGCTTCTTCTATTCTCTGTGAGCAAGCTCCTGCTGTCTCCGCAGTTTCTCTGCCCAAGTGCCCCCCCGTCGGCCGCGCGTGCGGACGCCTTATGCAGGCGGTCGCACAAGCGGCTCTCGGGGGCGCTGGGGAGATCTTCTTCAGGGGGCTGCGGGCCGCGCTCTACGAGCGGCTCGTGTCTGCCCCCCTCTCTGTGCTTCAGGACCAAGGGCCTCCTGCGCCTGCCTGGTCCATCCAGCAGGCGGACTCGTCCGAGGGTGAGGGGGCTTACTGCCCCCTCCCTTCGGCGGGTTCCGCCTGCCCCACCGTCTGCCTCGGGCTGGCGGTGGATCTGAGCGGCGGGGTCTCTCCCTGGCTGCTCAGCACGGTCGTCGCCCTCCTTTGGGTGACGGCCGCGTGCAGCGCCTGCGCAGGCTGCTGCTTCGGGCTGCTGGGCCCGTACGTGTGGCGGAGGCTCAGGGCCTCCGCCTGGCCGCGCGGTGCGGTTCCTGCTTCCCCTGAGCAGGACCGCCGTGCGGCGCGAGCGCTGGCTTACGGGGTTCCGCCTCGGCCTCGAGCGCTCGAGCGGGCAGACGCCCAGCATTCGGGCGGCAGTTCCCACGACAGCGCCCATTGATGGCTGAGCTGCCACCAGTTGGCGGAGGGCCTCTATGGCCCGAGCTCTACCCATTCGCGGCTCCCACGGCTCGCGATTACGCACGATGGCGTCTAGACGACGGCGACACCAGCTGGGCAGCTATCCCCCTCGCGTCTCGAGAAGGGGGCATCCTGCTGGCCCTGCCTGGCGCCTTTCGCTCTACGGCGGAGCTCGTGGCTGCCGAGGCGGATGGCTTTGCAGGAATGATAGGCCCTTTCCAGCTAGTGGACGTCCAGCTCCAGGGGGCCGCTTCACGGCCGCTCGCCACTACTGCATCCGTCCTCGTCGTAGATATCGAGGTTGCAGAGCTCGAGCTCGAGTCGCTTTACCCTCTAGAGGTCGGGGAGGACGCAGTCATCGTTCCCTTCGCCGAGGTGCGGGGCCGCGTCTATTGGCCACATCCTTCGGGGGTTCGGGTGCTTCGCGAGGGCTACGCACGCTTGCACGGCGCCCCGCCTACTGCAGGAGAAGAGCCGCTCCCAGGGGCCGATCGGGCTACTCCCTATCACTCTGCCGACGAGATGGAGGAGCCCGAGGGGTTCGCGGCCGACGGGGAAGCCGACCGCACGGCCCCAAGTGCGCGATCTCCCGCGGACGCTGGAGCGCCGCGCGGCCCGCCCGCGAAGCGCGCGGGCACCGCCGCGCCGCCACGGGTCGCGGGTCCCGCTCCGATCGCTCCTGGTGCCCCTGCGGCGTCTCTGGACGACGGGGCTCCTATGACCCGTGCCGAAGTAGCTGCCGAAATGCGCGCCTTGCTTGCAGCCCACGCGGCCTCCACGATGGTCGGCAGACCCGAGCCGCTGGGCCCCGCGCCGGCTGCCCGGAGCGATCGGCCCGAGGTGCCTCAGCTTTTCAGCGACGAAGCGGTGCGCCTCGGGCTGGATCCTGCGGGGATCGAGGCCGTCCTGTCTCACGCGCCCGTGGCCCCACAGCGGGTCTCCGCGCGTCCCAAGGGTCCGACCTCCGCGCTGGTCTCGGCGTGGGAAAAGGCGCGCTCTCTTGCTGTCCCTCGGGCCCCTTCGTCCGGTTTCGGAGCGATGGGTCCCCCGCCGCCACCTGGGCTAGCCCATCCCGCTGCGGCCGACGGCTTTGCCGAGGCGGGCGGCGCCGACGGGTCAGAGCCGCCCCATGCGGCCAATCCGACGGACTTCAGCCTCATGCTACAGTGCCTGCACCAGTCCCTCCTATTGCAGCAGGGGCGGGGCCATCGCCCAACCGTCCATCCGCTT